GGGGGGGGGGGGCAGAAGCATCCAGATGACAACTGTAAGTTGTTAACTATTGGCCACAAGGGGGAGGAAGGGCAACAGCATTTTTTTCACTACAGATCAAGTGTCCGCCTTTGTACATTTTTCTAAGAGGTAACAAAAACGTTCTCAGATCAGTGGAGCAGAGCAGAACTGCAGCACGCTACTGTTCTTCTTCAGTGACACAGCATTTTTAAGGTCAGTTAGTTGTCAGTGTTTGTGTGGGAATGTGTGTGCGGGACCTTAGTTCAAGATCAAGTGAATCAAAATTCAAAGGGAAAACTTTTGTTGCCTAAGAGCATCTGGACTGTCATGTCCCAAGTATATTAAAGAGTTTTGAATATGTATATGTGATGTTATATTCCCTCTTCTTTCCAGTCCCAAGGATAAAGGTATATTAAAGAGTTTTGAATATGTATATGTGATGTTATATTCCCTCTTCTTTCCAGTCCCAAGGATAAAGGTCACCTTGAGAGGTTGTGGTTAAGTAAATAAACCATAGTACTTCACAGTCTTATAGTCAATTTCGACTTCAGTGCGAATAATTTTACATGCATGTCAACCAGGGACTAAATTCAAGTTTTAATCAAAAAATATTCTTCTCACTTACTTTTTGTCCAGGAACTGTCGGCCTTAACAGCCTTTTTTGTGAAGACATTTGACGCGTTCAAAGAACAATGTTTCTTTTAAGGATGAAAAGGAAAAGTATGAATGTACGGCAACTGTACATGATTACATTTTGATCCAATTATGTCAGAAACTATAACTGAATGAAAAGGTGAAAGAATGAAAAGGAAAATGAGGGTGAGTGGCATTACCAATGGCATCAACAAATGTTTATCTGATGAGCGCAATAGTTCCCGTCAAAATACCTGCAGAACTAATAAAAGTCCTATCACCCTCAAATGTAATTTCTGTCACCCCTTAAAATCACATATAAATATATTGGAAAAATAATTGATTGCTAATTTCTACATTACACCCATAACAAACCCATACCACACATTAATACACCCCTATTACACCCATATTACACTGTTATTAGACCAATATTACACCCATGTTACACTATTCTTACACCCGTATTATACCCATGTTGCACCATTATTACACCTGTATTACACCATTATTATACCCATGTTACAATGTTATTACGCCAACATAAGACTGTTATTATACCCATATTACACTGTTATATACACTGTTATCAAATTATTACACCTGTGTTAGACCCCATATTTCACCAATATTCAATCCTAAGTGTGAACTAATGGGCTTTTAGTTAGATAGTTTAATATCATATATACAACTATTGAACATGTTTTTTATTTATTATTCAGATGAATTAGTTAAATGAACTTTCTAGTTTTGAAATAATTAGATCCAGTAGGGTAACTTCACAGACTCAGATATTAATTGAATAGAACATGCACCAGAGCGATACCCTTTGTGTGTGGAATATATATTTTGAAAGAACTGTATTCAGCCATGTTATTTTGTAACTACCATGTTCTACAAAAGATGACGTATCCCACAGTTAGTGGTTCATTTAGCTTAGAGGTCATGTATATGCTCTTAAGAAAGCCAATTGGCCGTGCTAATGGGTGGGAAGATGACGAGTGATCTTGCCGTTGTTACACTGATGGTTGTAGTGCCTGCACAAATCCTGAAGAATAGTTCCTTTCAGGCAAGTGTCAGAAAAGCATGGATCAACAATAGGAAGCAATCCCACACACAGAGACCTTCAAGATGATTGCAGGAAGAGAAGAGTAAAAGGCAACTTGTTTTCCTTTGAGAGGAGAAATGCAGGAGGTTGAAAGAGAACATTAGATTAATTCAAAACTATATAGACTTTAACTAAACTACTGTTTTTCCTTCTGTTTTATCTCTATATTATAGAGATAGCACAGAAGGAAAAACAGTAGTCTATTTGCCAACATCACTTCCTGATGAAAGAAACTGCTCTCAGACCATATTATCCATGTCAAAAAGTTCTAAGTGAATGAATCAAGCTTTTATATGTAACTAGATTTTTTGCAACAGTATTGGTTCAAAAGCATGCAGTTTTAGTTATTTATTGTGTAATATGGTGTTTTCATCACACCAAAGTGAGCAAATAACGGTAAAATTGTATTTTACGTCTTAATATTGACTAAAATCATGATGATATGGCCCTACAGGATATAGCAAAAGCAGTATGTGTTGAACTGTTTTACCTGAAAAAAAGAGATTTCATTCACTTAGGGTTAAACATTTGACTTGTCTGTCTCTATAAGGGCTGGTATGAATGAACCTGCTCAGGCTAGGGGGGAAATGGCAGACCCACACTAGTACTAAACATGTTGCCCAAGAGAAGAGGGAGAATATGCTAATCTGGTAATCACAGTATACTAAACATTAGCATCTGGAACAAACACCCATATTGCTGTGTTTATTGTGGTCATACTCATTTGGCCACAGGAAAGCACCACTTACCAATCTAACGATAATACAAGTAATGTTTGTATGTTTGTATGTCCTAAGCATATTTAAACCATTAATCCGATCAACTTTACATCTGGCCGGGGTGTACCTTTGGAGGAACCAATGACATGAAGTGTTAAGCATTCTGCCATTTGTACACTAGACGTAGGTGCTGGTTCAAGGGTTCTAAAAAGTCAAGCATTTTGTCCTCAGGCTTTTACATGTTATGGCTTATTGACTGCAATTTACTTTCACTAATAGATGCTGGATTTACAAATGTTATAATAAAAGTATTCTTTCCTTTCCTTACTGTAAGTCACTTAAAGTGCTCTTGAATCTTCTCAAGAACTCAAGGACAGCAGAGCCCTGAAGCACCACGTTGTTGCATAGTTTGTTGGCTGCTTCATTATTCAATTTAAAAGTGTCCAGTGTCCAAGTTGCATATTCGACACTGCACGTCATCGGCTTCCTGCGAAACACTGACAAAGTGTGAAGGACATACCCACATCCAGACAGTTGTCTTTCTTAATAGGGTATTGTTGCACTCTTGTGGCCGGAACAACAATTGCAGCAAAAACATTGTTAAAACAGTTTCACCTGGTAAAAAAAGTTGTTTTTCCCCCATGTTAAAAACAGGAACTTAAATCATCAAGGCATTTCATTAAACACAGGAGAGAAAACCATTTTTGATCAGACTTTTTCACGATCTGTATGAGTTTTCTTTGTTTTATTTTTTGATGTCAAGATCTGTCTTTGTTTTCCTGTTTTATTTTGAAAAGTGTTAACCCGTGTTACATCTGTTGTTACTTTCTGTCTCTGTGTTTCCGTCCTGTTTGATAACCTCAGTGTTCACGTGGTGCCCCTGTGTTTCTCTTCCCTCCCCATCTGTGTCTTGCCTGTATTTAAGTTTTGGTTTTCTTTCAGTTGTTGTCAGATTCTTTATGTTGGATGTTTATGTTGAGAGAGTTTTTTTGGCCTTGTTTTGCCCAGCTCTGTTAATTCACAAACAGACAATAAAGGACTTTTCCTTCAAAGTAACTGTGGGTCCTAACCGCTTCGCTTTCAAGCCTTGACAGACTTATAAACGAGTTGACTTGTTACAGCAATAATTGTGGCTTATGATGAACTGTTTGACATTTTCAAATGAATGAAAAGAAATTCAATATTTAGTTTGCCCATTGCACAAAAAAAACTTGATCCATAGCCACCAATGTCATGCTGTGTTTCAAAGTGGTTGTACCCTTAAGTTTTGTATCTGATGTAACCTTGCCTAAGCACTTTTACCTTAAAGATAGAACGTTCTGAAAAGTCAAAGCATCACTATATGTATAAAACTGTCTATTGGTTTGTGGACCAAGGTTTTAAAGCCATATAAACTATATTAAAACTTTCTCATGCATCAAAGTCAAAACCACTTGTTTTCTTGATTTGACTTTATTTGTCCAGCATTAAAGTAGAAATACTCGAGTCATACAGATGATTGCCTCATATCATTGTAGCTGTATGTAACTGATATGATGAACACAGATAGCAGTAGCCAAACAGTGTGATCAGATCTAAAGCAACTTTTGGACACGTGAAAATTGTGGCTGCTCCTCTGGGATAACGTCACAGCC